TATATTGTAAGCCTACGTGTTGCAGTGTGACAGTGTTCGCTGATATATGTGAGTGGTCTGTTGCATGCGGCTGCGGTTTCTTGGTTCACTGCACCCTTCATGTATTCGACTGGCGTTCACAGATACTTCATTTGGTGTGCTCGATTACTTACTTACACATAGTTTATTTAAGCACCAAATCAGATAAATTCACAAGTACATCCTCACTATCCGACAATAGTACACCCCTTCCATATATCCTGAAACATGCTTCACTCCTCATACACCCCCACTCCACGTTAACATACACAGGAAATATGGACCGAGTTTTATGGCGGGGAACCTGTTTAGAACTGTCACGCCAACCCGAAGAGGACGCGTACGCACGTGGCATCTGTGGCATTTTCGGTGGTGACGTGGGCAACTTTGAATCGGCCCCTGTGGCCGCGGGAATCAATACCGGGATCCCGCAATGGCTACAGCTATGTGAGACATTTGAAGATGCCCTGTGCTTTCTAGCCAGGATATTTTGCGACAATCTGCTGTTGCAAAAGGTTGTCGTAAAAGAAGTCACGCTCGGGGATGCGCTAAGCAGACAGAGGTTTGCGGGCAGAGAAAACTACACGCCCCAGGTATGTTTTCTTGGCTATTGTTGTCCAATTCGCATATACATATTGTAGTTCTAGATGTACTGTTTGGTTTAAAACCATGAAACGGCGGTGACATTGACTTATTCAGCACAGGCGAGCATCGTTCGATGGGCTCTACTCAACTCACCACTCTCATGACAGACACGTGCTATTGTGTCCTGAGAACATAGCGAAGGTCGCACGACGCTGTTGTTTTAGGTGGGGGTTGGTTATGCTACCTGATGTATCTTCACGGTATCAACTTGATGTGGCTGTATGCGTCTTAGACCCACTGTGCCTAGTTTTCCTGCATCACATGTCCACGCAATTCGTCTTGTCAGAACAAAAAGCACACCAAACCCAGCAGATAGTATAGCCGACGTAAACTCATACGAGCTCTTCGAGCAGCATGCAGCATGCAACCATTCCGAAGGCATACTCATACTTAAGATCATAGTTTCAGAACCTGCGGCCGCATATCTGTCGCATATACATCTCTCGTCAATGGCAATTAATAGCACTTTCTGTTTAGGTATCAATCTCAGAACTACACGTATACACACTGCATATACACTTCTCTTCAATGGGAATTGATAGCACTTTCTGTTTAGGTATTGATCTCAGAACTACACGTATATACACTGCATATACACTTCTCTTCAATGGAAATTGATAGTACTTTCTCGCGCATCTCCAACTGACAGACCATCCGCATGGGAGTGAACGCAGAGGCAGCCAACCAATGGGGTGTTCAGGATATGTACCGTACTTTGTCCGAATGGGCACACAGCGACACCAACCTCAGAGACGCACTCAGCGACCCTTACAGCACTGTACAGGCCGCTACCCTGCAGAAGGATTTACCTACCCTCGTGGAAACTATAAATAGATTGCTGTATAGCGGGATCTATTCCGGGGCGGGCATGGCCAGTGATAACAACACGTCGCTCAATACATCGTTCAGCTATCCCAGACGCTCCATGCACGCGCATAGAGGACTTGCACCAACACCGGTAGCACGCACATGCACTCGCACACCCAACCGCAGAGCGCCACCCACACCGTTTCTGCGAGGCGCACAGGGCTTGCCTGTAGTACACTACCTGGACAGAGCACAGGCACAACCGACCCAGCAGGAGGGAAAGGGGGTAGATAGTGTCGGCTCTGGGTCGGGTAGGAGAGGGGACAGGGATGAGAAAGCCTCGAGGGTATTCCCCAACCCATTGGCAGTACTAGACTCAACGGACGTCGTGCGCACTGATACTTACAATGCACACACAGACCCACCCAACCACGTAGCCACACCCACAGCCGCTGATGGAGACACACACATACACACACACACACACACCATGGACGACGAGATCATAGGCCATGAGGAAAGTGCGGTACCCACCTCGCTGGCGGAGCGCTCCCCCACGGGCACAGAAGTGTATGCAAACCCCAACCCCAACCTCAACGCTGTCGCAGCATCCTCCGAGCACGCATTAGAGTACGTCACCCCATCCCTGCTGAGGTTCTACGCCCACCTGGCTATAGCGCTGAGTGAGGTGCACAAGATGAAGCCATCGGCACTCAAGAGTGTTAGCGAGACCGCAGTGCAGAGTATCGTTTCACGCTATGTCGATCTGCTCATTCAACAAGGCCAGCACCCGGGGCTGGACCGGTCGAATGAGATCGCCCCACTGTACATAGAACGCCTGGGTAGTGTGGAACAGGTATGCATGTGCCACTGGCGTTGTAATGTTTACGTATGTGTGTATAGGCCTGACTGGTAGTAGGTTAACACCTAGCACCCACGAATGAGGTTGTCATGTGGCTGTAGTAATTTGTTCATTCATCGGCCACCTGGCTACTTGGCGGTATTGTCAGCACCTACATTGTCGGTTGTTGCCCGCAGACTGACTTATCTATACGGCCCCACACCCATAAGAACGCATTTACACAAGTCACGCGTAGCTGCGACAACGTTAGATACGTAAATACTCTTATCTGCACGTGTGAGTGGATGCTATAACATCTAGGTGCTCTACTACACACTTCCGCGTGAATGCTATCAAATATGCATGGCTTGTACTTGAGTCCTTTCCCATCATGATACCACACACTTCCTAATTCACTGCATCACAGTACCATCAACTAACCACACACTTGCCAATTCACTGCATCACAGTACCATCAACTAACCACACACTTGCCAATTCACTGCATCACAGTAACATCAGCTGACCACACACTTCCTAATTCACTGAATCAC